TGGACATAGGTTTGAATTTTAGCTATGTCTTCCTAGCTGTAGTACTTTAGGTAGATTTCTTACTCTCCTTAGGCTGCAGTTTGTTCATCATAAAAAGGGAATAATAAACCTACTTTAAAGGATGATTATTCACCATTGTACACACAGGGTCTAAAAATGCCTGGCACATAATAAGCAGTAAATATTTGAAAAAACAAACATATGAATGTTGTGAGGATGAAATGAAACTTACATAAAACACCCAATACAAGTGTGGCACATAGCAAGGACTCAAAATTGTAGCTACATTGTGGATTTTTTTTTTCAGGCTATTTCACTGAATAAGGCTCAAGTTTTCATTTTCACTTTAAGAACTACATAATCCATGAAAATGAAGAACCAATTACAGAATGTAGGACTTTAATAAAAATAGTAAGCATTAACTATTTCATAGAATTTTGAGATGGAATGGACCTTAGTCCTCTAGTCGAGTAATTTCTTTTATCAATAAAGAAACAAAGATACAGGGGACTTGATTAACTTTACCAAAGATTGCATTAACTTAATTAAGTCATCTTCTCAGCCAAACACTGTTTCCACAATCCTGTACTTACGTTATTTCATATCTGGATCCCAATCAGCAGACTGTAATAAAATCTATTTTTATTGTTAGCATCTTGTTCAGTCTGATCTAAAGCCTTTCAGATCTTTTAACTCCTGATTCTGTCATCCATAATATCTGTATGCTAATCAGATTTGTAGATAACATGACTTTTAAGAGTATTATTTAAGTCATTAACACAATTATTAAACTAGACTAGGTAGAAGACAGAGCCCACCAGAAACCTTCCCTTAACAGCTCCTCCATAGGACTGACTCTTTAAGTAAATTTACAAATCAAGTCTGACTGTTAAACAAAAGCTACATTTTTAAACTGTAAAGTCTTTTAATATAGCCTTTAAAATTTTCACTGAGATTTCTAATAACTCTTTCCAAATAATAGGAATGAATCGCATGCTCCCAATGAGAGAACGTTCCAAAACAGAGGAAGACATTCTCCGAGCAGCACTTAAGTATAGCAGCAAGAAGACTGGAAGTAATCCTACATCAGCCTCTGATGATTCCAATGGGCTGGAGTGGGAGAATGATTTTGTTAGTGCTGAAATGGATGATAATGGCAATTCTGAGTATTCTGGATTTGTGAATCCTATATTAGAACTGTCTGATTCTGGCATAAAGCAATCTGATGCAGATCAACAGAAACGATAGGGTAAAATTGTATGACCCTGTTTTATCTGTTGTGACCAAATGTTAAAAACCAACTAGAATGTATAAATAGTTGTGCTGAGCCTTTTTTTAAGAGGGAGATAAGAAACCATGTTGTAAATGCTTATTAGAAAGGAATAGAAATGATAGGCTATATCTGAGTTGCTTCAGAATTAAGTGCAATTTCATCATCTGCCTTCTGCTTTTCAAAAACAATTTAATGGTTCTATCATGTTATCAGTTAAATTTATTTTAACTCTTCTTTATAGCATTCCTGTTTACTATTTGTAGATTTTCACTTTTAAAAATAGTTTTATTGTTTTACTTTGAATGCTTTCTTAAGCCTATTTCAGTAGTTAACTGTGAAAATATTGCATTTTGTGTTAATTCTCAGCAGATGTGAAGGGAGCATGAGGAGGGACTGCCAGATCAGATTTATAATAGTGTTCCCTTTTCCACCTTTTCCAACATTATTTATTCCTATGACTTACTTAAATTTTATGATCTAATAGTAAGCACAATTGAGGAGATGACCCTAAAGAAATGCTGAAATATCAGTTTTTTTCTACACTTACTGCATATCCTAGTATAATAATGTTGATTCAGTCTGAACAAAGGATATGATGTGTTAAAATAGACTTTCAGAGTTCAGACACCTGAAGCTGGTAATCAAAAGTAATATTTAAGAAAATATATATATTTAGGTTTTTCATTTCCTTTTACATGCTGCCACTATAAATGAATATTGACTTTAAGTTAATTGATAAATTTCTAGGTGTCATTTTTTTAAATTCTATATTTCCAATGCATGGACTTAGAAAGATTTTACACAGAACATACTCTCTGTGCATGATTTAGTAAGAAAGGAAAACCTAAATATGCAATACGGGTATTTCAAAATAAAATCCTTTCTGGTGTGAAAGGATTCATTGATTTTATTAAGCTTTCCTTTGCCTTGTAATACAAGGTGGTTTAATGGGATGGAGCTAAGCATATCAGTATAAATAACTGCATTTGTGATATACAATGAACTCTTCTTTTCCCTAAAGTTTACATTTCACTTTGAAAGGCCAAGGTTATAAAGCACTCCCTAATTGTTTGTCTTAATTTTGCTGAGGATTGAATATGATTTTGGTAAGCAAACTGTTTTCTGATTTTTCCTTGGTGTTTTTTTTTTCTTTTTTTCTTGCAGCAGTGACAGTGCATGTTCTCAAAAATATAGGAAGGTCCAGATATAAATAGTAACTTAAAGTTCTTGCTGTACTTAAGAAAAAAAAAAATCATGTGGCCCTTTCAATATTTGAACTGCTAGGCAATGACATCAATAGTTTCATCTTTTTTTTATCTCATAGAAATAAATGACACTTTAAATATGTAAATATATTAGGTATGCTATTATTTATGACTGTCTTAACATAATTTAAGTTGTAGCTTTGTCACTGGAAATATTTTAAAGGTAATCTATATTCACATTGCCTGTGTTATGCCTTTTAAAGTTTGTATACATCAGATGTATATTTTTGGTTTGGCATAAGCTACTATTGTAATTTTTCTTGGCATTTTGTTCATAAAAAATTTTTTGAAGGAATGATAACCTCAAGGATTGTGAATAAACACATTTTTACATTTAAAAATAAAAAATTATTTGATCATTACTAGTTTTACTCTATAAACATGCAATAATTCTGACTCCTGAGGTATAATTACTTTATTAAATCTGCCTTGAAGACAAAAAGGAGTGAATTAGGAAAGCAGGATGGAACTAAATTTGAAAATGTTTATTTTAACTGCTAAGAAAAGATATTAATTTCTTGTTTTATATGTTTATAAAAAACCCTGGAAATAACATTTTTTTATTCAGCAGATATTAGAGAATCTACTGTGTCTGATAGGGTGTTAGGGACATAGTAAAAAGACATACAATGCTCAAGCTCTTTTGCCTACATTCTGATGAGAGAGACAAGAAAATAACAAGTAAACATATAAATAAGAAAACCACAGATCACAATTAGAAAATATACAAGATGATAGAATGCAGGATAGCTGGGGACTAAGTGACTACTTTGGTAGGTCAAGAGAGCCTTCTCTGAAATGACATTTGAGCTGAGACCTAACTGTTGAGCAGGAACCAGCCAAGTGAAAAGCCTGGTGAAGCATGTTTATAAAGCTCCTGAAGTATAGGAGAACGTTTGGTTATGTTCTGAGAATGAAAAGCACAGGGACTGAAGCATCATGAGGTAGAGTAATATGAGATGATACTGGAGGGGTATTTAAGGGCCAGATCATGTAAGGTTTTGTAGACCATGGTTAAGAATTAATTTTATTTGATGTATAAAGCCACTGACTTTCTGTAAGCCAGAGTAGACAGTGATCAGATTTGCATTTTTTAAAAATTTCTCTAGTTGCTATGTAGAGAATGGGTTATAAGAAGACAAGAGTGTATGTGTGATACTTGCAATGGGACATGGTGTGACTTGGGTTGATAATGATAGGAATGCAAAGCTGATAAACTTCAGATGTAGAATTAACAAGATTTTCTGATGGGTTAGATATGGGGGCAAAAGAAGAGCTGGAATCCAAGATAACGGTAGGATAATGCATCTATCATGGTGCCCTGGCAACCTTGCTCACTGCACATCTATATAGCAACACTGAACCACACTCCAACCCAAATCCTGACAAAGCTCTGTGATCCTCCCTGGAACATGGCAAGATAGGTCCTCAAGGAGATGTGACAAAGCCATTTATCATCTGCTCCCCTATCTTGCAGAAGGCTGCCTTAAGGGGCAATTTCTCATCTAACTCCCTGATTCTAATGAAGCAGGGATTTCCACCTCACTCCCACTCACTACAGATGTAAGCTAATAAAACTGCTTGGCTGGAGTTGAGAGTTGGCTCTTCAACAACAGAGCTGCCCTCCATTTATGTGTCATTTGGCCTCCCTGGTCCAATGTCCAAGGGACATCCCTAGGGACCAGGGATGTGGAACACTGACCCCACACTGATCTTGCTTTTGCTATCTGTGTAAGTAATAAACTAAGTCTATTTGAGCTCATTGTCTCCCCACCGGTTAAATCTATGGAAATGGACAGCCAACCTAGCAGTTACAACTACACTTGACAATAACTTTTTGGTTTCTAACTTGACAAATATAGTGGGAGGAACAGATTTAAGAAGGTGAAGGAAATTAAGAGTTCTGTTTTGGAAGTTAAATTTGAGGTGTTTATGAGAAATTTATATGAAGACATCAAGAAGGTGATGAGATATAGATAGATAGATAGATATAGGCATATCTATCTATATATGTCTGTAGTTCAGAGAAGAGGTCAAGGTACAAGTTTAGAAGTCATTCGTAGGTAAAAGGTATTTTAAGTCATTATACTAGGTAAGATCACCCTGGGGAAGCATATAGGCAGAGAAGCCCAACTAAGTGTTGATATTTAGAGGTCAGGGGTAGAGAAACTGCCAAAAGAAGCAGATTCAAGAGGGACACAGGAAACCAAAGAATGTGGTATCACAGGAAATACTGGTGGCCATGTGCCACCACACAGTGAGGAATATGGAGAACTGGAGCCAATATGCACTGAGGGGCAGGGCTAGAGGAGTCTTAATCCCCAGCCCAGCCTCTCCCTGAGGCCTATGGCACTCCTCCTTTAGAGTAAGCAGTCTACTGATCAGCATGGGAGAGTAAGCAGTCTAAGAACTTTCTTTTCTTCAGAAAGTTCTTTCTTCAGAAAGAGTTTCAAAGAACATGGTTACAGAATTAAACTTTGACTTTATTATATGCATGGAAGCTGTCAAAATTTCGAATTCATGGAATTTAAAAATGTGTGGTACATAAAAGTTAATTTAATATTTGGTAAGAAAACTGAAAAAGAATTCTAAACATAGCAACGGTTCATTAAAATGTCCAAAATACTGGTTTTAGATGCTAAATATACACAAGGAGAACTGTATTTTTGGAAATAAACACTATTATTCTACAGAAAGGAAATCATAGAAAAGGTATTATTGCTCAAATAGGGCTTCCTATATTAAAACCACAATGATGCATTGGCACTATTCCAAAACATATTATGTTAGTACTCTAGTACTGTAAGTACCAACAAGTTACACCACCAGTAACAAGCTGCTCATAACCTTGACCTTGAAAACAAATGGCTGCTTGTGAAATAATATGACCAAACCAAGAGATGGTTCCTTACAAAACAAAACATAGGACTAAAAGCAAGCATAAGAAGAAAATAATATATCCTTATTGAGAACACTATTCCTTCATCACCACGGGTACTTCTTGTACATTAACCCTCACAGATGTACACTTAAACACACTTAATTCTTAATAATACACTTAATAATTCCTAAATACATCTAGGAATGCAACAGATGACTAAATTGATGACTAACACAATTTAAAGACTTCAAAATGATAATAAGAAATCCCAAATTTGACAACAGATGACAGTAATACGCCAATAAACTGTGGAGTATCCATAAAATGTCTAGAGATTTCTTCATCCTTCATGACTCTCCTCTTAGCCCCTCTGTGTTCACAATTCATTTTCATCCATTTCTGTAGGAGAAGTGTTTTGGGTGGAACAGGATGAGTAAACGCCATACTCAGGTATGGGCTTCTGTAGTGGCCAGTTGTTCTCTTGCAAGAGTGATCTTGGAGACAAAATAAATTGAGTCTCAAAAAATTCTAAGGACTCTCCATCTTCCTTCTCTATCAGGAACTGATACTCACCAAATCTGACCATGCACTTGTAAGGCAGGTCTATTTTATTTAGGTAGCACAGCTCCTTGTTGTCCACAAGCAGACTGGTCTTCTTACTCATATTTTTTATTTCAAAAGAGAGAACTGAACTATCAAACTTTTTAAACAGCTGCAGAGAAAACTGAACTCGGGAAACCTGTTTATCCTGAAAGGTATAATGACAGATGTTGGAATTTCGGCCAAATTTCACCACTTCGCTGGAGGGAAGTTTTTCTCGGTTATAAAACCTTATTGATTGGAATATTCTACTTTGCAGCTGGCCAGGATGGTAAACAGTTATCTGGAGACAAGTCATTGTCTCTTCTGTATCAGCATCTTCGAAACTGGTCATGATGTGTCTCAGAATCTGACCTGCCTGCAACAATCAAACCAGCATGTTAGTTCACTCCCATTTTTCAGGCATTGAAATCTTTAATTCTAATATTTTGATGAAAATCTTCTGATAGGTGATTTATTTAGAATTTAAGAAGACAATACATAGAATACTCAATTAACTAGCACATATGTGAAATTTTACGCAAGTCCCATGAGATCTGGTGTATTACTTTTTTCCATCTCTATTTTTCACTTCTAGTTTGACAATAAAACCATATACACAATCTAGACAATAACAAGGAATGCTTGTCGATAATAAAGTGATTTGGCAGGGGCATAAAGAAACTTCAGTTCCTTTCTGATTTAAATAGAGTGACTTGGCCCAGAGAAAATATGACAGCTATATTTTAGAAATCAGGATAAGTAATCCCCTTGGTTTGAATGCCCTCAGAGGATATACACATAAAGAAAACCTGCAGTTTATTAACTAAATTATAATTAGATGTATTATGAATTGTAAAACCTGATTAAAGAAATTTAAAAATTATAAACAAATAATTGCAACATTTATTCTTTACATCCTCACTTAGATTTCTAGTAGGTAAAGGGTTAAATATAATAAATGCTTAGCTACAATAGGAAAGCAAGCTAAGTGTCCATCAATAGATGAACAGGTAAAGATGTGGTACACACACACACACACGAATATTATGCAGCCATAAAAAGGAACGAGATTGTGCCATTTGTAACAACTAGGATGAACCTAGAAGGTATTATGCTAAATGAAATTAAGTCAGACTGAGAAAGACAAATACCATATGATTATACTCATTTGTGGAATCTAAAAACAAATGAATAGACAAATAAAAAGCAGAATATGACCTGCAAATACAGAGAACAAACTGATGATTGCCAGTGAGGATAGTGGATGTTGGGCAAAATGAGTGAAGGGGAGTGGGAGATACAGGCTTCCAGTTACAAAATGAGTAAATCACAGGAGTAAAAGGCACAGCATAGGGAATACAGTCAGCGATACTGTAATAGTGGTATATCGTGACAGATGGTGACTACACTTGTGGTGAGCATTAAGTATAGAGAAGTTGAATCACTATGTTGTATACCTGAAACTAATGTAACAGTGTACATCAACTGTAATAAAGAAAAAAAAATAGTAAGTGCTCTAAAAGTTTTAGACCTGTAAAATTAGACATTACATAAGTCAGTCCTAATTATCATAGTCTGTACTCCTACTGGAATTATTTATCAATTGTTCCTAATGACTGAACAAACTGTCATTAACCACATTCTGTCATTAAGAGTTAATAGCACCCCTCTAGAGCTCTTGGCCCTGTGGTGCCCTCCACCTACACTTGCCTATATGCACCTTTAATAATCAGTGGAGTAAAGTAGTATAACAGGATAGGAGAACTAATTACCAAAATCTTGGAGAGATTATTCTGACACAGAACTGCCATTTTTTAACTAATTTATTTTAAAAGAATTAAGTGCACACAATTTAAAATTTGATACAGCAAATAACGATTTTTAAAAAGAGTATCTTCACTCCACCCTAATCCTTCTAGAGTCAACCACTGTAAAAGCTGTTTTTATCCTTACAGAAATTTTCTTTATACAACAAGCATAACTATGTGTGTGCTCATAGACACAAACACCTATGTTTCTACACATAGAGAAAAATTTTTCTTACACAAACAGGAACTAAACATTATATTTAGTTCTAGGCCTTGCATTCTTAAATTAATAATACAAATGGGTGATTTGTTTCCATATCCACACATATACATATACCTTATATTTGAAAGGCTACACAGAATTCCTTTAATCTAGCATGGTGATAAATTACACCAATAAAGTGAGGCTGAGTGTTCCCTGCATTCCTTAAAAACTGTTTAGGGTTTGGAAATCAAGAATCTTAAGTGAAGTTGAATTGTGGTTTTTGTTTGCTATCTATATTAGATGTTGGTATCAGAATTATTATGCTGGTTTAAAAAAAAAACCAGAATTCTTTCTTTTTCTTTCTACACTTGCTGCTATTTATTTTTAAAATACAATCTTTCCTCCTGTTTTGCAGTTATGGCGCTATTTTTTTTCTTTTATTAAATTCTTTATTTAAATTCAATTTAGTTAACATATACTGTATTATTAGTTTCGGGGATAGAATTTAGTGATTCATCATTTCATATAACAGCCGGTGCTCATTTATATCAAGTGCCCTCCTTAATGCCTATCACCTAATTATCCTTTCCCCCACCAACCTCCCCTCCAGGAACCCTTAGTTTGTTTCCTAGAATTCAGCGTTTCTTATGCCTCTCTATTTTTGCCTCCCTCTCTATTTTCATCTTATTTTATTTTTCCTTCCCTTCCCCTATGTTCATCTGTTTTGCTTCTTAAATTCCACATATGAATGAGTGCTAAAAATCAAACTCTCAATTTATTCAATTTTTCAATAAATGATATGGCTAAGCAAAATTTCTTTTTTATTGATTTGGAAATATATCTTTAATTTTAAATTTACTTGTCATATATTGTTTTTGGACATTATTACATCATATCACATTACCCAAGCAGACAGGACATGCCCAGCTATAAGCAGCAAAGTGAGAGGAACCATCAAAATCATGGGCCAAGGATGGTCAAAATTACTCTGAAACCAACACAGCGAGAATTAACACACAATGGGTAGAATTGTGATTTGAAGACACCTTAATTATGATAATAAAGTCACATTATTCAAGAAGCTGACAGCATTAAAGAGAATAATTATAACAAATCATCAGATGATACAATTAGTGGTTGACAAGAAAAGAATTAGCTGTTAACAAGTAAAGAACCTAAAAAGGAGGGGCAAGAATTTGTCAGTGATCTCAGCCTTGTCTAGGATACACTGCCATCATTCTAGTTCATTCTTGGACTTTGGACAATAACAGTTCCAAAAGGAGAACTGGATTAAAAATCATGGTGTATTCTGGATATAGTCTTTGGGTAACACCCAAATTTTGTTTTGTGTTCTTCCTATAACCAATTAGTTTAGAATTCATTCTTTTGAGCAAATCTACCACCAAGAAAAGTTTGCCCCACACAAGCTCTTATGCTTAATTCTCAGGGTAGATATATTATTCACTGCAAGGGGAAAAAATAGGCATTCTTGTTTATCACTCAGTGGCTACAAGTGTCTTGGTGTGAATCAACTCTCAGGGTTTGACAAACTTTTGGGATCATAATTGTGACTCTCCAAAAACACTGAGGTTGACTGTAATACTGTCAAGTATTCGCTGCCCCTCCCTACCAGGCCTTGCTCCTTTAGAAAGATGATACTTCTTACTCCATTGACAACCATGTCAATGAAACATGAATGGAAGTGACACAGAAGCTTATTTCCAAGCAGAAGCTTTAAAAGCCACCGTGTAGGTCCACCAATCCTCTTGGCCTCTGCTACATCGGCAGTCCCCAGAAGCAACTCAGCCTCCATCCCTGAGGGAAGGGCCAAAGACAGAGTCAAAAAGGACATGTAATATGAGCAAGAAATCAAACCTTTTTTTAAGTCATTTGTTCCTGAGCCCTAACATAGACTGGGCTGACAAGCATCCACCTATCCAACCAAGGTACGAAATGACCTCAACCCTGACAGTTAACAGGGTTACTACTTAACTGTATGCCCTTCACGTGCCAGGTACAGTGTTAGCCATTTACACATACTGTCTCATCTTCAGAATAACCCTATGAATCATCCTTCACAGAGGAGGGAGCTATGTCTCAGAGGGTTTAGCTAAGTAGCCCCAGGTCACAAAGTCAGTATCAAAGGCAGGATTCAAACAGAAAAAAAAAATACACCCTCTCTTACCCACAACAAATAACTGCTCTCTGTTGCCAGTTACTCCACAAGAGATAGCAGTTAATCTGTAGAGAGGAGGGCCATGGAAGTGTACTAAAACCAGCAAGACACCAACCTAGAATCTAGTGTTGGGGTAGGAAATACACTGTTACTCCTGCCTCATAAGAGAAAGAGGCTCTGAAGCAGCAGGTTACTGTGAGTATTAGTTATCCCTAAGTCTGCATGTATGGATATTAGCATGGACCCAGTACTCACTAGTAATTGTGGTAGGTTGTTTGGGGAGCTCCAAAGTTGAATAAATCATGGTCTCTGATCTCAAGGAACTGAGAAAGTAATCTATTTGTTAATTTCTAGAGCTGCAAGTTCCCTCTACAAAGTGGCCTGAATCTCTGCCATTTCTGAGTGTCAGTAGAAAGACAGTAAAGACTGAAACTAACAAAAACCCTAAAATAAACTAAAATTGGTAGGTTTTTTTAAAAAAGATTTTATTTATTTATTTGAGAGAGAGGGAACGAGTGAGAGAGAGAGCACGAGCAGGGGGAGGGGCAGAAGGAGAAAGAGAAGCAGTCGCCCTGCTGAGCAGGGAGACCAATGCGGGACTTGATCCCGTGACCCTGGGATCATGACCTGAGGCGAAGGCAGACGCTTAAACTGCTTAACCGACTGAGCCACCCAGGTGCCCTGGTAGATCTTTAAAAAAAAAAAAAAAAAAAAAATCACTAGTGTGCAAATGCTCAAAAGCAGCTTTTTGAAATGTCTGACATAAGTTATCAAAGATAGAAGAACAATGAGCTTATATAGCAGTAACAGTGGTTACCTCTGGAGAGGAAACCTGGGGTCAGGGGTGGAAAGGAGACTTTTCATTGCACATTCTATACCTTCGAAATTGTATACCATGTGTACTTAATATCTAATCAAACACTTAACAAACATTTTCTTTACAAAATTACAAACCATCTGATTTTTATGGAATTAAATGGAGGTGGAGATTAGCTAAGTATTAAAGGGGTAAACTATGATATCTGACATAAAAAAATTGTAAAACATGGTTCGCCTGGCTGGCTCACTCAGTAGAGCATGCAACTCCTGATCTCAGGGTCGTGAGTTCTAGCTCCACGATGGGTATAGAGCTTACTTAAAGAAAAACACTGTGTAAAACACTGTGGTGATGTCTGATACACAATAGTATCTATATTCACAAATGAACTACAATAAATAGATAAATATATAGAAATGAAAATGAGCAAATGAGCCCTGCTATCAAGAACGTTATCACAGAAAGCATAATACAGAATGTGAGTGCTCCATTCTTGAGTGTCAGAAGAGTAAACCTCTCCTTTGCTGGACACCAGGAAGCAAGTACACACTTACCTGGGAGTCTTAGAGCTGGCAAGAGAAGGGTTAGACTCTGGGGTTGCCTTCTGACTCCTCTCAAAGGAAATAAGGTGCTATGTGCAAAAATATGCTCTCTACACTTGCTCACACTCCCCCCCCCACCCCCCCACACACACACCAGTTACCCCTCCCAAAGTTGGGCAAAGCCAGCAAAGAGACATACTACCCTGACCTTGCAAAAAGGCTGTTTGGACCTCAACTGTCATGAACAAAAAGACGGATATTTTTGCTCAAAGGAGGAGCCAGGTGTCCAAGCAGTTTAACAGAAAGTTTGGTGCCCCTGGGTGGTCATGCATGCCAAGAGGATTCTCATGCTTTAAGTTTGCTTTTTAAGGTAAGATCTAGTGAAATAATGGAGCTTGTTCTGGGCCTTGTGTTAAGGAAGGTATTCTAAAGGTTTACTTTCATCCTCCTCAGCTCCCACCCTATGGATAATCTCAAGAGAAAGTATATGTCTTTGCCTTGCTGCAAGCAGCCTTTTTTCAAAGGCTTTCTCCCTGACCAACACCCAACACTGAGCTAACAGGAGGGAAGAGAAACTTGAAGCCTAGCAAAAGACAGGGTCATCCTCCTGACTAACGCCCCTCGCCGGTCACCACCCCCAGTGTGGCTTCGAAGACATCTGTGAACTCTACTCCTGGTCAGCAGAATCAATTCTTAAATAATAGGTTTCGTAGAAGGAGTCGTGAAAAACAAAAAGAGCAAGAGGAAAACCTTAAGAGAGCTCACTTTTTCTTCCGAGATAGTGTCTTCTTTCTCTCACTCTACCTGATCAACCTGTACCCAATCAGATCTGCACAGTCCAGTTTCTTGGTGGCTGTGGACATCCGCTATGAGGTAGAGCGTGGGTTCTGGCTTCCTTCCGGAGGATGTGGGAAATTCCTTTCAATCTGAAAGCTGGGGAAAGTCCCAGAAAACAGCAGATTACTATATTTTCCTAATATATATAATTTTCCTGAGGCAAGGAGGGCAGGTCCAGAAGAACCCTCAGTAGAGAACCCGGAGCTCCAGGGAGCCCGAGGCCCCGCAGGAAAGTCTCCTGGGGGACGCGGAGGGGGTTCACGCCCAATTGCTTTGTGAGCTACCCTTGATAAATGGAATTCTTTTGTGTTCTCTGATTAGGAAAAAAACTGCAAAGCACGGAAATTGATAAAGAAAACACACCCCATCTCTGGCATTTCCTTTCAGTATTCCCCCCTCGCATTTATAAATATTCCTAAGGTTTACCAAGCTGGGGCCGTGCCCTATGTAATTGCTGGAGCGCGCCGTGGGTGTGACTTTGTACAGAGCATCGCGAAGGACTCCTTGACAAAGCTCCGCTCTCGGCGCGAGGAACAGACAAGACACACTCCCCACTCCACCCCCAGCCCGCCGCCCGCTAGGTACCTCGGCGCCGGGCAGTCGGCGAACTAACTTCCCAGAGCGGCTTCGCTTTCCGGGCTCCGCACGAGACGCTCGAAGGCCACCCCGCGGAGGCTGGAGTCGGGGGACCGGCACCGCCCACCGCGCTCCGCTCCACGAGAAAGCGCCAGCCCGCCCCGCCGCAGCTCCCGGGGAGGGAGAGGGCGCGTGTGCGCCGAGGGGGCGGGGCCGAACTGGGGGGCGGGGGGAGCGCGGACGCGACCGAACCCGGGGAGCGGGCGGCTGCGGAGCGCTGGTCCCCCGGCGCGCGCCACCTCCCCTCCTGCTCCCGGCCGACTGCGGCCCCTCGCCACCCCCAAGGCCTTTATAAAGACCGCACGGAAGCGCCGCGGTTCTCAGGCCCCGCCCGCACGCGCGCCCGCACCCTCCCTCCTCCGCCCGGCGTCTGCGGCTGCGAAGCCCCGGCCCCTGGCCGCCGTGCTGAACTTCCAGGCCACGTTTGAGGCGCAGTAAACTGGTAGGGACCTCACCTCCCCAGACAAGTGGCCCCTCCGAAGGGGATGTGGCTAGTGAGCTAGACTTTGAAAAGGGAACAGAAGTGTTGGCTTGGGACCGGGTAGCGGGTAGGCAGAGAGTTGAACTTACTCCCTAAACAAGCCTTGTGCACGGCTTGTATTGTCTCATTTAATCCTCACAGTGGAGGGAGAGTAGGTCCCCCTTGCAGGTGAGTAAACGGCCGCCCTGAGGGTGGCTAAGTGTCACGTTGAGCGAGAACGGAGACGGGATTTGAACGTGCCCCAGAGCTCCAAATCAGCCTGCGGCTACCCATGCTGCCCTCACCTTACACAGACCAGTCCAGGGGCTTCCTCTCCCGCCCCGTCTGCCTGAAGGGATCCCTCACTCAACATCCAGGGTCTGGGGTTCCACAAATACGGGCTGGTATACATGGTGCACTGAGAAACACTTGACCTCCCAGGAGTCCTTTATAGTCTCCAGTGAAATGAACTAAAGGTGGAGAGAACCTAAAGGCAGGAGGTGTCTAGAGCCGGGTAGGAGTGAGACTCTATAGAAGGAGCAGAAGACAGAGAAGAGAGGGAGGACCAAGCTAGCAGTGACTGAGGTCAAACTGGCCCACTTACTTCAGAGCTTGGAAATCTACCTGCCAGTTCTGGTAGGTGTCAGATGGAAGCCACTTATCTGTCTGCATTCTGACCCTGACTTGCAGGACAGTTGCTCATTTGCAGGTCAGTTTCATTGACAATAAAATGACATTGATACATGCTGCTTTCCCGTCTGATAAAGAGATACTGTGAGGGATTAGATTTTGACCTCTCAGAATTAGTCAGGTATAATCAGGAACCATAAGCCTGGGGAAGGAAGAGTACAACTACATGTGAGGCCGATTCCTGTAAGGCTGCAATTTTGTTTGTTAATCATCAACATTTATCTCTTCTCTGGAGTGGAGATAGTGGGGGTGCATTATTTCTACCTATCACATGTCCTCCAAACCAAATAACTTAATCTTTCCCTTGTTGAATCTAAATTTTATCATATAGTACTTCTCACCAGTGTAATTTTTAGGAATAAAAAATTACTAAATTTCCTATTTTTTTACGAAAAAAGTAAAACAAAACCCAAAAGCCTCCCCCCTCCTTTAATATTTATACTTAAGTATTTACATTGTAGTTGTTAGTGCTTCTTCATTAATTTTTAAAATCCAAGAAATCACTAGCATCCTAACAAATAACATTTTATACTACTAATGAGGGATCAGAAGCTATACATTAATTTATAACACAATAATTTTTTTTCTCATTAAAAAAATAGAAAATATTGCCTTAGAGAAATGCCATACCTGGAGTAAGTTGTCGGTCTATCCTCTATCTCTAGTTTTCTCTTTATGTTTACCATAATTGTGCTGTCAACTAAGTGCATAATTCTGGGGGAAAATTTCCAGAATAACATTCTGGCCATTAACCCCATAGAAATATCACTATTCCTTGCTGTTTGTGGCCCTCAAGTTTATTATATAATTAATTATATGATATAATAAAAGGGTAAAGTTAGTTTTGAGATCATCTTGCTCCAACCCTGAAGTAACTTCAGAAGTATAACCCCTTCTGAACATAGGCTCCATGTGCATATTTTATGTAATCTAGGCTTAGATGGAAAGATTCTCTTTCTACTCTACTTATTTATCTTACTTTTTAGGATTTAAAAATATTCCATCTGCTTTCTGCCAGCACCTCACTGAATTTGTTCTTGTTAAAGCTATCTTTGACCTACTTGCCAAGCCAGTGGACACTTTTCTGTCCTCATCCTTTGTCACTTCTCCGCACCATTAAGTACTGTTGACCACTTCCACTTTGAAATGGAGCCCTAACATGAGTGTGTCTTTTGATAATAGATCAAAAACAATGTTCATTGTTTCTTACTCTTTTTCCTTGGCCCTCAGGGGCCTGACTCTCCATCCTGACTTCATTCAAATAAGGAGTTTCCTTGCACTTTGTTTAAAAGAGGAAACTTCTCTGTAGTAATAAAATTCCCAGACTACCTCTACCAAAGCCATCCCTAAGGGGGTGTGTCTTATGGTGCAAAACTGCTGAAAGTCCCAGAGTTGAATTACACAATCAGATTCTGAATCAGTGACGCTCTGTTTTCTTTTAAATTTCTACTTCCTGAAACCGAGGCTGTTTATGAGAAACAGTGTATTTCAGGGAGACTGTCCTAAAATTAACCTTTTTCAGAGTTAGATTTGCTGGCCTTAAAAGTGTTTATCCTCTTCTTCAAGACAAAGGTGAGTATCAGCCTTTAAATGACAAAACAGTAGATGTGGGTACAAAAGATGGCATAATGTGTAAGAAGGTATTTTTTTTTTTAACTGTGTGACCTTATTTCTACTTCCTGATCTTGTCTACGTTTAAATAACTTTAAAGCTCTAAGAATACTTGCACTTCTAAAAAACGGCACAGAAAGGGAGTGACAGTTGGGAAGGGGAAGGAACAGTGAACTTAGGTTACTGGGGAAAGGAGAAAAGGAACCTGTTTTTTAGAAGGTTTTAGTAACAACGTCCTTCTGTCAGGGAGCTTGCTATTGAACATCTGGCTTTGTCACTGAATTGAGATGTTTGATTAAAGCATTAAAAGAGGTGGGATTGGGGTGGCTGGGTGGCTCAGTGGGTTAAGCATCTGTCTTTAGCTCAGGTCATGATCTCAGGGTCCTGGGATCAAGCCCCACATTGGGATCCTTTCTCAGCGGGGCACCTACTTCTCTCTCTCCCTCTGTTTGCCCCTCCCCCTGCTTGTGCTTGCTCTCTCCCTCTCTCTCTCTCTGTGTCAAATAAATAAATAAAATCTTAAAAAAAAAAAAAAAGAGGTGGTAAATTAAAAAAAAAAAAGAGGTGGGTACTTACATGAAAAATTAACCCTGGGACTTTTGCCCTGGAGTACATAGGTAATCATAACAGAAACCATCACTGGTTCGATGACCTCAGTGATTTTGCCAGGAAAAGGTAAGAGTGGAGAATTACTCTTTTTGTTTGGGAAGAACTGACAGGAATTCTGGGTGTGGTGAAGCATTATGTAGACAGAAAGCATCTAGAAAAATTAAATTCCTTCATGCTTTATTCAAAGAGTCTTTTCACTAACAAATTTTATCATTTGAAATTAGGGCTCTGAACTACTTTGGAAAGCCACAAATTATGAGCTTTAGAATAGTCTGGGACATGCAGGTGGGTGAGAGTGCAGGGGCAGGGTCAGAAAGGAGGGGATTTATGTCACAACATAATGGCACCTCTGAATTATTTGTTTCTTATCTCCCTCTGCCTTTTCTTTTCTTTTTACTTAGTGCAGCTAGTACTCTTATGAGAAGTAATCTCTACTTTTGGCTGATACCTCATTGTTAAGAACATTTTAAATTCCGTACACAAAATCACTGTTGCTGTTCAAGTCTATACATGATACTTTAGCATAATCTCCACGCTCCTTTGTTTCTCCTCTTTCCTCCTTGGCCTCAAATACATTTTGAGTATCGAACTCTATAGAGCATTTGTAATTATACCACAGAAGCTGTACACCCCTGTAGATGGGGTGTCAGCAGATTATATGTATGATGAGCACAATTTTGGGTAGGGCTGGGTATAGGTTCACTTACCACCTGAGAGACACACAAGACCTAAACAAATGCCAAGTCAAGTCTTTATGTCCAGTGACCAGAATAATTTACTTCTTTCTTTCCACCTCCCCTTCCAAACTCTGTCAACCTGCAGCCACAAGAGAAAGAAAACACTTAAAAGTATTCTGGCAATAATTTACTCTCCACTTCAAATACCTTTTGAATCTGAGATGAAGGAATTCTCCAAGTTCTTCCCCAACAAGACACCAGAATTTGATAGTATCCTTCACTGGCATGAGTAATGTTAGGGTGGCTGGTGGGGGGCAGCAAAGAATTGCACAAAGGGTAGAGCAACAGGCAGGAGAGAGTTTATTCACTCTCCAAGGGAGGACAAGGGCCAGACATCAAGAGAGATATCAGCCTGAGTTTCTGTTAGGTTGGGCTTTTTAAGGGGTTTTGAAGGATGTGAGAGGGTTGAAGGTGGGGGGGGGGTGACATGACTCTTGGCCAGGTAGAATGGGAGGTGACAGGTTTCTCCAGGAACTCTCTCCAGGGTTTGTCCAGGATGTGTGTTGTGATCAGGCCAGAGAAGAATATGTTTTGTAGTTGGGGTCTATTTTCTGAGAATAAAGGGTACCATAACCTGGAAAAAGAAAGAGTGAGGGCCAGGTATAAACACCTGTGAGTTTGGTCTGTAAGATTGGCTAGGGAGAGGGCTTTGAATAGATTCCTTTCAAGTAAGGAGCCAATAATTACTTTAAACTTAGGTGTGTGTGTGTTTGTGTGTGTGTGTGTGTATTTTAAAGCCATATGTAAATCATGATGGATGTTATAAAATCTCACATAAAATAATACTGTGTAGTGAGCACACCTGACATATTAAGCTCTAACAATCTCCCCTTAAGTCCTATGTGATCTAAGTTTGGGTTTAGAACCTGGAATTTTCTTTAAGAATAAGTGTTCATTTCAAAATATTTCTGAAACTCCATGGTTCCTCCCATTCCAAAAGAATTTCACTGACCCCTTTCCCTGAACACAGTACACATACTACTTTTACTGTCCCTTAATCCATTTCAGATGATGATGGCTTTTTAGCATAAAATGCTCATTAAAAATGCTTTCCTGAAATTTTAAGCACCTATGTTTTGGAGAATTTTAATGGGAATGTGTATTCAAACTTTTGATATAAACCCATGCCATATTTTTGTTATTGTATCTGTTTCCTCTCTATATGGGGGAGTCTGTTTCTTGTTATTGACAGCGACATGGATTTTCGCAGGATGTTGTGATTTCCTGTGTTTATAGAGTTCTGTGAGATAGACAAGTTTAAAAGTAAGAATATTTTCTTTTGCTATTATTCTTCTGTCTAAGGAACAGAAAAAGATGATCATAGCTTTAATATCAGTTATATATTAATACAGTTTTCTCAAAGTATGGTGTACAAACTACTGATTTTAGGTGGCATGTGTCCAAACTTCGAAAATTTGAGTTTTATCCTTGGTTTAATGTGAATTAAAAATATAATTAGCTTGGGGCACCTAGGTGGCTCAGTCAGTTAAGCATTTGACTCTTGATTTCGGCTCAGGTAATGATCTCAGGGTCATGGGATCAAGCCTGGTGTCAGGCTCTGCGCTCAGGGCAGAGTCTGCTTGCGATTCTCTCTCTCCTTCTCCCTCTGCCCCTCCCCCTGCTTGCACACACTCTCTCTAAATAAGTAAATAAATACATAAATATTTTTTAAGACCAAATAATTAGCTCATAAAATTTATGACTTCATGGATATTATTGCTCAGGAAGATGTTAAGTAAAAAGAAATTGAGGTGTTTACTACTGATTTTAAGGAAACAAGTAAATAAATACTCTTACAGGTAATATGCAGATATGGTAAAAATTGTGAAGGTGGAATGTAACTAGCTAAAGTTTTGGAAATATTGAACTACTGTGTTTGATAAGTGGATATTTTCTGAACCACTGCAGAAATTTGAACCTCACTGGTCCTTGGTTACACAGCTCAATTAATAATACAGTCTGTTAAATTTCTTAATTATAGATGTACAAAATAGCTGATAAAAATGCTTTATCATTTTATCATTTATTCAGTCCTCATGAATTGCCATAAAATTGAAGGGATGTAGAAGGTAACCAATATTTTTTGAAATAAGAATCAGAGAGAGGATAGGGGCTCCTGGGTGGCTCAGTCGGTTGGGCAACCAACTCTTGATTTCAGCTCAGGTCTTAATCTCAGGGTCATAGGATAGGCCCGCAGCAGGCTCTGCACTCAGCATGGAGCCTGCTTAGGATTCTCTCCCTCTCCCTCTGCCCCTTCCCTGACTCTCTCTCTGTCTCTCTCTCTAAAATAAATAAATCTAAAAAAAAAATCATAGAGAGGATGAATCATCCCAGAATAAGCACTACAGTTCTATTCTGCCTGTTTTACCCAGACACTGATATCTTTGAAGGGCAGAGAGGGTTGCTGTGGGCTAAAGGGTAGGAGAGGAGGAGGGGACCATAAGCATCATCTAGGTCAAGGGTCATTAATGTATCATGAAGTGTGCCAATGGCCCTTAAAAAATAATCATATTGGTAATTTCTTTTAGGGACTCCATTCTAGGGAAGATACAATTCTTAATATGGAGAAAACTCACAAAGATGTTTATCAGATAACAACAAATTGTAAGCATTCTAACAAAAGGGGAAGGTTAAGCAAATTATAGTACAGTAGTCCCTCTTTTATCCATGGTTTTGCTTTCCATGGTTTCAGTTATCTGCAGTCAACCACCACCAGAAGCAGATGATCTTCCTTCTGACATTTCGTCACATGCCTGCATCATTCACCTGACTTCATCTCCTCACATAGGTATTTTATCGGCTCACGTCATCACAAGAAGAACGGTGAGTACAATACAGGCATATCTCATTTTATTGTTACCACTTTATTGCACTTTATGGATACTGAGGTTTTTACGAACTGAAGGTTTGCAGCAACCCTGCATGGAGCAAGTCTGTCAGCGCTGTTTTCCCAACAACAGTTGCTCACTTCGTGTCTCAGTGTTACATTTTGGTAATTCTTCAATGTTTCAAACTTTGTCATTATTGTTATGTTTGCTATGGTGATCTGTCATGAGTGATTGCAACTTATTGAAAGCTCAGATGATGATTAGCATTTTCTAGCAATAAAGTATTTTTTCATTAAGGTATGTACATTTTTTAGACATAATGCTATTCCACACTTAATAGACTAAAGCATAGTGTAAACATAATTTTATATGCACTGGGAAACCAAAAAGTTCATTTGACTCGCTTTATTGCAATATTCACTTTATTGTGGTAGTCTAGACTGAACCTGAAATATCTTCCTTTTTTTTTTTTTTAAAGATTTTATTTATTTATTTGAGAAAGAGAGAGAATGAGAGACAGAGAGCATGAGAGGGAGGAGGGTCAGAGGGAGAAGCAGACTCCCTGCCGAGCAGGGAACCCGATGCGGAACTCGATCCCGGGACTCCAGGATCATGACCTGAGCCGAAGGCAGTCACTTAACCAACTGAGCCACCCAGGTGCCCTGAACCTGAAATATCTTCAAAGTATGCCTGTACAGGGGAACAAAAAGGAGTTTTGTTTTGTTTTGAAAAAAGGAAAAAAGGAGGGGAAGAGGAATGGGAACTTTACATGATATGTATGCTAATAGTTTCCTAATTAGTTTCTCATTCTTTTGGATTCCCATAACCTGGATTCATACATTTATGTCTATACGTGTTGTACTTAACATTCATTTTTGCCATTCTTTGCATATACTCCTATTGCACCTCAAAGTATATTGTGTCATCGGCTTGCCCAAAAACTTTGCTTAGAATCTTAACCTTAGCACATCTAGTTACTGTGATACATTCCCCATTAGTGCACTGTAACCACTGAAAAGTATGCAAAATTTTCAATAAAAGTCTTGTCCGTTCATAAGTGTTTTTCTTTTCCATAAAAAAAAATGCTTAGATCCTCATCACATGTCCTTTTATTTGACCACTTCTTCAAAATAACTTAATCTCTGATTATAGTTTGGATGCTGCAGGTCATCATTTTGCAAGATAACCATATTCCTACCCAGACATTTGATTCCCTAAATCCTGCCCCGAGTCATTGTGAGGGATAATAAAATGTGAGTGAATAGCATCTCTTCTGAGATATTACTCAATCAGGTCTGATTCACATCTCCAAAAGTTGCTGGTTCTTTAATAAGAAACATTTGAAGCCCTTTGAGCCCAGATTCCCTGTCACCCCATATCTCCCCCCTTCCCCAGTGGGCAAGAGAAACGGGTAGGAGGACACCAGGAACTAGGTGGAGCTTCTAAAGGCACAGCTTACCACGCAGCTGAGAAGCAGACAGAAACACCCCTACCCAGTTAATTTCAGGCTGCAGGCTCCAGCCTCTTAATGTCGATGTGGCAAAGCATTCATCTTTGTAGCTCTCCTTGGGGACTTCTTGAGACATATTTTTTAAATATATTTCCACTCAATGAAATGACCTCTCATTACTTTATTCAGATCCAAAGGTCACTTTTTATATTTCATTTTTCTTTCTCTTTGCAATTTTGACACTGTTGACTTCTGCAAATGTTCTTTTTTGGTTTCCATATCACTGTGCATTTCTGACTTTTCTCCTACTTCTCTGGCTGCACTTCACTTTTATATTCTCTTTCTCTGCCCGCATCAGATACTACATTGTGCTTTCTGCCTCCTCTCTCTTCTGCTGTGTCTTCACTTTGGATGAATGCCTGTTGCTGCACTTATACCGGTTTATACTAAAGGCCCCGTGGTTCTTCTTCCAGAGTTCTGGAATCTTACATCCAAGTGTAAACCTCTATTACTAAATATCTCTATTCTGCATCCCACAGGCATTTCACATCGAAAATTTTCAACCCTGGGCTCATTTACCACCTCTATCAGTATTTTTTATATTGATATCTGGCACTAAAAGCCATGTACTTGCTCAAGCTAAACATTTGGGCTCTCCTAGACCCCTTATTTCTTTACCAACAATATCTAATCAATTTTGAAGTGAAATTGATTCCATTTCTTAAATACCTTTGGAAACTACCCATATCTACCTATTCTTGGTACAGGCCCTCAAGCTCTCACAGCATGTCCTGATCTCCTTAGCCTCTAGCCTTTGTCCTGTTGGATTAGATATTTCCTAGGACCCAGAGCATTCTTCTACCCCAGAACGTTTTTGCAGTAACCATTTTTTAAAACTAAGACTATATCTTTTATCTCTGAATTCCCATTACCAAGCCCAATGCATGACACGTTGTAGATACCCAATATGGATTTGCTAAGTAAGTAAAATTTAATGGATGCCTACTTCTCTGCCCTATTTCTTTTGTTTAAATGAGACTTACCACAGCGTAAAGCTCCCTGGCTTACAACGACATAATTTTTTCCCAGAGTTAAATAAAAAAATAAATCTATCAACTCAACACTTGAAGAATCACATCCACTTTTCCACACATATATAATGATATCTACTCAACTAGACACAGTAGAAGGTTGAGACATTTGAGAGGTTTTGGACCCTGCCAAATGTGTCTTCTAATTTGGTATTGTTAAAAGAAAATCCAATAATCACTCTTTTGAGTGAGATGACATACTTGCCAAACGAGATTTTCCTCATCTGTGTCTACAGTAGCTGCAGATGTGTCCGCCCTTCGAGGAGGTTCTGGCCCTACTCCAGGCTCTTCCATCCTGCTATATTTGCATCATGCCTATCCTAGACACAATAGAGAGATCTTTTCCTAGGATAAGTTGTGATAAAGATTAACACTCACTGATGAAGGTTGGCTACTGGGATTAGTCATTTTGTGTTAGGTGAGATGTGGAGGGGGAGGCAGAGTGATGAGAATGTCTAGCTCCAAAGTAAGGCTGAAAGAAAAACAGAAGATAATACATGTAGAAAGCATCCCTAAGTTAACCATAAGACATGAGTGAAAGGAAGTGCAACTAAAATATGTACAGTGTCACAATGTTTTGTTAAATCATTTCTGACTACACCTCAATTGAGAGGCAAAAATCAAACTGCTCAATAATCATTGAGGAATACTTAGTTAAATTTTGAAAGCTTATACTTTAAAAAACTTTATTATAAATATGAAAATATATGTACATATAATAAAAAACTTATATAAACATTTAACTTTGCAGAGAAACAATGATATCAATATGTTTATAGTGCTTATTTCTTAGTGGGACTTTGGGTAGTTCTTATTTTCTTTTCTACCATATTTTTTCTCCAAATTTTTAAATAACACCATTTTGCGCTCATTATAATGAAATGTTTCAAAAATCTAGATCTTTAAAAATACTTCAGAGGGCTGCCTGGGTGGCTCAAATGGTTAAAATTACATCAGAGACCACTATGGTACAATCTTCAAGGTTTTCATGACAAATACTTCTTAATGGAGCCTACTAGAAGACATCCAGTAGACTGTTAATACCCTCACTTGCAAGCCAGAAGCCACCGTGTATGAAAAAGCAAGTTATAGTGAAAGAAAAGAAAAGCACTAATTATTATGAACATAGATTTCAGAAGTCTTACAGTATCTCAACACAGTCATTCCCCAAATCACAGTTGTCAAAGAAAAGCTTTTTAGACCACAGCTGTACATGCACAAAGTGTGAAAGGCTGAGTGAACATGAGGGAATTAGGGAGTTCCCCCTGACCAAGTTTTCTCCAAAAGATGTGTCACTTCAGGGAAAAAAAGGGGGGGGAGGAGGAAACAAACCATAAGAGACTCTTAATGGTAGAGAACAAACTGAGGGTTGATGAAAGGAGATGGGTGGGGGGATGGACTAGATGAGTGATGGGTATTAAGGAGGGCACTTGTTACAATGAACACTGAGTATTGTATGTAAGTAATGAATCATTGAATTCTACTCCTGAAACCAATATTACACTGTATGTTAACTAACTAGAATTTATATAAAAATTTGAAAAAAATATATATTCCTTCAGATCACCCTATCTGCTCCCATTCAGCCGCTTCTGAATGCACAGCTCATCTAAGAGCTGGTCTTTCATTTCACTTTCCTGGAAAGGTAGAATCATTAGCTGAGACTGATTTGGAGTTCAAAGTGGACATGTTGAGAATGTGATGCTTACTGGATATCCAAGTACAGATATCCAATAAACAGTTGAAAATATGCATCTGAAAATTTCAAGAGAGAAGTTTGGACTGGAGATACAAAGTTGATGACTATCAGCCAATACATGATATTTACAACTATAAACTGAATGAGATCACCAAAGAGTGGATTTAAATGGGGAAGGGAAGAGGGCCAGAGACTGAGCCTTTGCACATTTCAACATTAAGGTGTCTAGGAGGAGGATGAACCAGCCAAAAAGGCTGAGAAAGAGAGATCAGTGACATAGGAAAACCAAAAGAGTGTAGTCTCATGATGGGCAATAGAGAAGGGAGGGCCTGTGTCACATGCTGTTGATAGGTTAACAAGGAAGAGGAGTGAGAATTGATCATTAGGTGTAGCAAAGTAGAGTTCACCAGTGATGTTGACAAGGGCAGTTTCAGTGGAGTGATGCAGCAGAAGTCTGACTGAAGTGCATTTAAGAGAGAATGGGAAGAGATAGGTTGAAAGCTCAAGTAGGAGCAAATCTTTCAAGGAACTTTGCTGCAAAGGGCAATAGCTATGGATGAAAGTGAAGTCAAGAGACTTCTCTTCTAAGATGGGAGAAATAGTGGCATGTTTGTAAACTGATCAGAATGAGCCCATGGAGAGCAAAAACTCAGAAAGAGAGGAGAAAAATGCAGTATTGAGTTTGAGTAGGAAGAAAGGTGGAATTATTGTTTGAATGGAGTGACTGGTTCTAGGTAAGAGAATGGGTGACTCAT